AAAACTCTTCGAATCAATTATAAATAAAAACATTTTTGGTCAAATAAAACAAAGAATAACTAGTGCACAACACGGATTTTTTAAAGGCCGTTCAACCACCACAAACCTTTTGGAATTTGTGGACTTTGTATTAAATGCAATGGACAGAGGTAACCAAGTAGAAGCTCTATATACAGACTTCAGTAAAGCGTTTGACAGAATTGATATCCCAATGCTGATTTTTAAATTAGAAAAAATGGGAATTGAGATGGAGCTCATCACCTGGATTAGATCGTATTTAGTTGATCGCCAGCAAATTGTAAGATTCAACGAAAAAACATCTAAGCCAATTCAAGTCACGTCAGGGGTTCCCCAGGGATCGCACCTAGGTCCTCTTCTTTTTATTTTGTACATTAATGACGTCTCTCTTATTTTAAAAAATATCAAGGTACTTATATACGCTGATGACATGAAGCTATTTTTAGAAATAGGAAGCGATAACGATATGAATGTGTTTCAGAATGAAATAAATGTTTTTTACAGATGGTGTAGTAAAAGTTTATTGAAACTTAATATCAAAAAATGTAATCTTATAACGTACAGTAGAAAACTAAACAAACAAAATCTTTGTATTACATTAGGTAATGAAAATGTTCAAAAATGTGAAAATGTAAGAGATTTAGGTGTTATTCTAGATTCTAAATTGACATTTGTGGACCATTATAACACAATAATACATAGAGCAGGCAATATGCTTAATTTTATAAAACGTTTCGGTCTCCACTTTAAAGATCCTTATACAATTAAATCACTTTACGTTGCTTATGTGAGGTCAATTTTAGAATATTGTAGCGTTGTTTGGTCACCCTATATGAAAAAGCATGAAGAACGAATAGAGTCAATCCAAAAGCAATTTTTATTATATGCATTACGTAAGTTAGGTTGGACGGCTTTTCCTCTCCCGTCATATGAAGCACGTTGCTTGCTGATCAGCATTCAAACATTGAAAGAACGTCGGGATTACGCAAAGATTTCTTTATTAAACAATATCATTTCGCAACGCATTGACTCAGCTGATCTATTGTCAAGGTTAAATTTGTATGCACCTTCCCGACAATTACGCAATCGACAGTTGTTCGCAGTAGATCGCCATCGGACCAATTACGCTAAATTTGGACCGGTAAATCAGATGATGACTGTTTATAATCATCATTGTGAAATGATTGACCTAAATATGCCCTCAACAGAATTAAAAATATATTTCAGAACCCTGCGAAGTCATAGAACATGAGTCTTAATGTTAATATGTAGTCTACGATTTGATTGATTGACGAATAAATAAATAAATAAAAATTAAAAAAAAAATGATTTGGCAAGTTTTCAGTTCGTATCGTACTCTCTTGCCATGCGGATCTATTATATTTTTGCTGAACGAAGTGATACAGCTACCTTAAGCTACAGCAAATTTTAACAGCACTTTTCAGTGCTCAACCTGTAAAATTTCTACCTTGTTTGAATCTCATTACTCTTTGGACCCTACCCGAGGTAATCCTGCTTGGATATCGATTTGGAAAATTCCTCTTCGATCCTTCGGATTCGTTTGGAAGTCGATTTTGAGAAACTTGGCTTTGCCGCCACAGCGCCTAAACGCAAAAGAAAAGGGAAATCGCTTGATCCTCCTTCTGATGAAATTAATTTGAGCAATCAATTTGATATGCTTACGGATGATGAGAATGATCCATCATCTAGGCAAAATTCCATTAAACATTCACGGCTTAATGGCAAAAATGAAAAGATTCCTCTTATTGTAGTTTTTCAACGCTCTTCGCACGGAACTTTTGAACTTCGTTAAATTTAAGTTTTCACTGGAAAGTGGCTATCGGGATGAATGCCGTGTATTGGATGAAACCCTGGACGGATTCAAATGTCTTCTCAAGTATCTTTATGAGAAGCAGCATCATTTTTTTTACTTACGACACCAAAACTGACCATTTTTTTTTTTTTTTTTTTCTTTATTAAAGAGATTTTTAGCCATAGGCTAGTTCATCTCTTAAACTGACCATCTGTTAAACGTTTTCATGGAAGGACTTCCCAGTGGTGAATCCCTGGATCAGATCAAAGATGAATTGGCAAAATTACTTAGAGTTGTGCCAGTCCAAGTAATCAAAATGAGAATGATATCCCGTCCTGGCGATTCGCGCAACGGGATGTCTAATGATTTTTATTTAGTTCACTTCAAGTCTACTTAACTAAACAACCTTAAGGTTTTAGAAACAAACTAGCCTTATGCTCCATGTCCAAGTGAAGTGGGAACACTTCAGCAAGACTGGAAGGAATTTCAAACACCTCACCCAGTGCCGTAAGTGATCCTGTGAACTGAGGAATTTTTTTTTTGAATCACACATTACAAAAAGACTTAGAAACTTGCTAAGCAATTCGAGAGTTCCCATAATTTAAGTTTGGGTCTTACTAGTCCTATGGAGAATCAGGTTGTTCGGGATTATCTGAATATTTTTTCCCGGAAATTTATCGTTGATGATTCCTGGGGGACTGATTTGGACTAATAAAGATCCAAAACTAAAAAGTTTCAAAATATGAAAGCTCCAGGTGATGATGGAATTTTCTTTATCCTCATCAAAAAACTTGTACAGAGTACCTTGCCTTTCAAAATCCAGCTGAAGCTTCAAGCTACCGTCTCATAAGTTTGCTTTCTTCAATAAGTAGACTTTTTGAAAAAACAAAAATAATTTTAAATATAATGATGCTTCATATCAATACGAACTCATTTTTTGCAGATGAGCTGTTTGGATTTCGCCATGGGCATTCAACTGCTCATCAACTCTTTAGAGTTACCAATTTAATACGTTCCAACAAATCCGAAGGCTGCTCAACTGAAGTTTCCCTTCTAAACATAGAAAAGCATTCGACAGTGTTTGGCGTGATTGCAAAATTAATTAGTTTAATTATCCACTCTATAGTATGAAATTAATTCAAAATCATTTAACTGACAGAACTCTAAATCATTACCTGTTAGAGCAGGAGTTTCTCAGGGTAGTGTGGGAGATGAGATGAGGTGTCGTAATTAAAACTTATTATAACTCCTCACTGAATGAACGGGTGAAAATAAAATATAGCATGATGAAAGAAACTTGGGCTATTTTCAGCCTCCGGGTTAATACTTAACCATACCCAAGAAGCCGTTCCGTTCGAAGAAGAGGATACCACTAACTTTCTGTACACTCTAGACTCGATGTGTATGGAGATAACTTGGGAGGAGATCGAAAGGATTGCCGCACAAGATGATGAGCTGCTAGGTGTGAGGACGGCGGTAAACCGATGGCCTGATACTCTGCGCAAGTTCGAAGCGCAAAAGAAGAGTCTACACTTTCTCGGACATTTGGTCTTCAAAGATGATAGAGCAGTACTCCCCAAAGATCTCAGGACCAAGGCTCTAACGTCAGCTCATGGAGGACACGTGGGCGAAACTGCAATGAAGAGAATCATGCGAGAATTTTTCTGGTGGCCGTGAATGGCAAAGGAGGTAGCAAGGTAGTCAACTTCAAAAAGTCACAACAATTAAAATTTTCTCAATAGTTATGAAAGATAGAAAAAAAAAGTAGAATGAAGGAGGAAAGACAAATGTTTCAATTATGTCTAATGGAAATCGATTCCACAGTTCACCGGTTACATATTCTACCAGAGACACCGTGATTCATCTAGTGTCCACTATGTATCCATCGGCGCTTCTGGTTTACTTTGTACGCAGACGCCAAAATTGCTTGATATTTTTCATTCATGCAAGAACTAGAATCCATATTTATAGCACTTTTTAGAACACATACGCAGTTAACTAAGATCTTTGCTAGAAAAATTAAATTGTTTTAGCAAAACATGAAATCATGATCGAACAACACGGAAAACTCTTCGATCTTTATGGAAGCTTGACAAACAGTGAAAAAGGAAGAAGAATCTTTTCAATTTCTTGATTATCGGACAGCAGTAGGTGTACATGAGCCAAAAATGCTAAGCGACCGATCGGACAAAAGATTTTATTAATAATTTTTGGTCCCCTCAGTCGCAAGCTTTCACTGTGCCAGCCTTAGAGAATTATTCTCAGACTATTCAACGCACAGAAGCCCACATTTTGAATTCTGAAACCTCTTCTCAACCATATTTGGCATGCACAGTTGTACACACCAACTGCTCATTTGTTAATAACTTTTCACTCAGTTGTTGACTTTTGGTTTTATTTAAAGTAATTGATAGATTAGGATCATAGCTTAATTACCATAGATATGCAAAGAGTAGGCAAATCTTAACATTTGAATCAACACCAATGATTTTTTACACTTAAAGTCCGAGATGTGCAGTGAGCATTTCTCACTTGATTTTTACAACACAAAAACAAATACAGTTTATTACTGGAAATAAAATCTACTTTTCTTACCTGCTTATTATAATAACAAGCTTAAACTTTATTCTATCTACTGCTTCAAACAGAACTATGATTTGTCAACTGGGTGCAAAGTAATTATCAAATGAGCAGCTCGTGACTAAAACTATGTATCTATGCCAAGCATGTTCTCAACTTTCTGGTCGTCTGAATGCAATTGATTTACGGAATTTTGCGATCACCTGAAAACTTTCTTCAATGTTCAAAGAACTCAAAGGCAGTTTTACATAAAGCTGGGTTTCAATAAGGCATGTGAAATTAGCAACTCAGTTGAATTCAAGTGGCTTGAAAAATTGAGCCCGGTTCAACTTTTATTTTCAATTCAAGTGAATTGATCACCTAAGTTGAAGGGTAATTCTCGTTCAAATCAGTTATATTCATGTGAGTTGTTCAATTGTGTCTACACCCGGCTTAAACTACACCACTGCTGAGAGGAAGACTCTGCAGCTTCAAGCACTTTGCTGTCGCCATTTAGCAGACAGGAAGTCATTACACTTCACGCCCCAAGCTAAAGGTAAAAATGGGAATTTTACGGAGAGTGATATCTCAAATCAAAACACAAGGCATCTCACCGTTTAAAATTCTCCGCCAATGTATTTCCTCGCTTGTTTTTCAAACCATGTTTGATGATTTACTTTTATTGCATCAATTCATACTTCAATGTTGGGTAGCTTGTAGGTAATAAATTTAGTTATCGGTGTTGTGTAGTGTAGTCTCCGTTTCATATATTTCGATAGTTCACTCCACTGTTAGAATATTTTGTTTGAGCTAAAGTAACATTTCCTGCTTCCTCGTCCTCATACAGCGCCTCTTGCACCTTTGCCACTTCAGTTTCCGGATCTGGCTTTCTGAGAAACAACTAAAAACTGAGCTAGGATTGTAAGACCTAGTTTGATATGCGGTTTTCTATGTCTCTCCTATGTTAAGTTGTTTAGTTTTGATTACTGTTCAATAAGTTCCACAAAATCTAGACTTAGGCATAGCACAACAAATCGAATTCTTTCACTGCAATTTACCAAACTCTTTAGACTCGATCCCGTTACTTTGAAATGAATTAAGAGCGTGTTGATATAGGTAAAAATAACAAGTGAACTAAGAAGCCATTACTGTAGGCCATGGAATCATGTTAAGCCATCCTACAAAATGTTCTACTAGTGAGCATTGCACCTAGTCGCAGCAATTGTCGGCCCAAAACTTGCTTTTTTACCGAAATCAGCTGCCGCCTGGCTAGAAGCTTGGAGTAGTTTTGTAAATATTTGATTTAATTGCTAGTTATAACAAATGAGAGATTGTGCTGTCACAATTCGTTAGATTCCTTGTTCTGCTTTACCCAAAAATCTATACGCTACTGATGATAATTATCATAAAGACTAAGTATAATATGTTAATAAAAAAAAGTTTCTAACTTGCGAGTTTGTGTGATGCTCTGAACTCTCTTCTAATAATATAATCGTATAAAAATACCTCCTTCCCTCGTTCGTCAAAAATTAAATTACACCTGTCGATTCGAAATCACTCTGATCAGTGAGCTTGCAAAAGTGCTCCTGCTACTGCTGCTGTTGTTGTTATTGTTATTACTAGCGTTCGTTTTGATGCTATCTACAGTATTATCAGCCTTGGGGGCTGCTGCCAGGGACGCCGGTCTGTCGGGGATACGAATTTTGAGCTGCTTCTTACGCGTCGGTGGTGGTTTCGTTGGGCCGTGTGGTATTTCCGGAAGATTGCATGTTTCCTTAAGGTAGTTGTAAACAGTACCGACCCTGTCCAGCAACCGCTTGGAGTACCGATGGGCCGTTCGATCTACTACCGATGGTGACTTGATGCAATCATCGCCACCAAACTCGCAAACCTGTAAAAGTAAAAGAAACTCGTTGAAGTGATTATTTCGGCTAATCCATCCATAGACCTACCCGGTAGTGATGCAGTATGGCCGCATCGGCTGGCACATTAAGCGATCCCCGGCCCGGGCAAAACTCCCACACAAAGTGATTGCCGGCTTCGATTACTGCTTCCGGTTTGCAGATGTACTTTGAGCGTTGCTTCTGCGGATGCAGTTTCGAGCGTCGTCTCGTCTTTCGCTGTGTCGTTAGGGCAGCTGTCAGATCTGCCTCGGGTGAACCGCCTTCGAAGATGGAATCGTCGTCCGCAAATTGTAGGTAGAAAAATGCATTCTGAAATGAGTAAGCTCCCGTGTTTCGGTTGTTGATTCGCTTTGAAAGCCAGCTGAAAAAAAAGTAAGACATAGTCGATTATGATCCTGAGTAAGGACAACCAACGTGTCAAGTACATACTTGATAAGATCGATCAAAGTGTCGTTGTGATGGGGTATTATAAATTCATCTAAATCAATCAGTGCAACATGTGAGTATCTGTAAGAAATCAAAATGTTGGCTCAATAAATCCAGATCAAAGCACCACGTCGTCAAGTACCTGTACATGCTCCTATATAGGCAATCGTTTAACGATGCAAACAACCCTTCGGTACGTATCTCCTTCTGGGATCGCATCCGCAAATTCCACGGCAAAATATTTACAGTAATCTTCGGCTTCTGGAACGATGCGTTGGTAAGATCCATCTCTTTGTTGTGTACGTCATTACTATCGGTGGAACCTTTGCTCGTTTGATCCCTGGCCGGTACAAACGGGGTGATCAACGGCGGAAGGTCACCGTTCACGTAATGCTGCAGGATGCAGCTCGCCTTGGGCCCGATTGTGTGATTGTAGAAAGTGAAATGTGACACTCCGAGTAGGTTGTTGAGCTCCAGGAACTCCAGCATGTAGAGGGCCTTAAAGTAGTAGAGAAGTATCGATAACATTTTAGGGTTTGGGGTTCTTTTGCTCAGTGGCTTCATCGGCATTAAAGCATTTTCAGGCGGTGGTGGTGTAAATCGGCGTAAAGTTATTTTTGCACCCGTAACTACTGTTGGAGACGGTGCGATGGAAATGCTATGAAGTTGTTCTAAGCCTAAACCTAAACATACCTCACAACACCCTAAGATCTACGAAGTTTATACATCTGCAAATTTCAGACATTGCTTGCTTCTCCGCAGCAAATAACAAGTAGTAGTTTCAGCTACGTGCATTCACAGAAACCTTATTATTTTAAATGTGAAATTGCGAAGTGTAACACGAAAAAGGACGCTCCAGAGAATCACCTTAAACTATTGTCTGCGGGCGACCTGAAACTCTACTTCGTGATAAAAGAACTTAGTGATTCCATTTTCTTGCAGCAACAATTGGAAGTCTTCACTGAGTGGTGTCCTATTAATCGCATGTCACTTAAAGTCTCGACATTCCTTGTAATTTCCTTTGGCCGCAAACGTTCGCTTCTTCACCATGACTACACCCTGACGGGCATAACTTTGAAACGTGAATCGACTATCAAGGATCTGGAAATACCGAACGACTATAAGCTCAGCTTCAAGGATCATGTTACATACTTAGTATTCAAAGCTTCCTCACAACTCGGGTTCATATTCCGCTTCGCAAAAAAAAAAAATCAATGATGTATACTGTTCGTTGGTATGACCTACTCTGGAGTATAGGGTGTCCCAGAATGTCTAGCACGACTTTGGAACACCCCTGCTTGTTTCAGATGACGTTTAAACATCTGATTATTACGTCGAGTAATTGTTTACATTTCGACCAACAGTTTCATGTATTTCAAGTGTCGGTTCATTACATTTCCGTGACAATGCAAAGCATTTCTCTGGAAAAGCGCAAACATATCGTGCACAAATGGTGTACTTTACCTAACATTTATCTGAGTCAATCAGCGAAATTGGAAGGTGTAAGCATCGGAGCCGTTCGAAACACGATTCGAAAGTAAGGTGATAAAGCAAATTTCCAGAACAAGCAAAAATCTGGACGAACACTGTTTACCGAAATCTGGACCGGAAAATCGTGCAAGCATTCACTCGCAAGAAAAGTGTTTCGGTTCGAGACGTGGCTGAAAAAGTGCGATCCTCGAAGAGTAACCTCCAGCTGGTCAAGGAAAGAATGGCCGTAGATACGTAGAAGAAGCAGAAGAAGCCAAAGCGAAGTGAAAAATAAGTCGCATCCGTCAAACCAAGGGCTCGAAAGTTATACGACTAGTTGCTGTGCGGAAAATCGGTGTGCGTATTTATGGACGATGAATCATACGTTAGCTTTGATTACAAAAAACTTCCTAGTGATCAAGATATGGTTTGGCAAGCCATTTGTGAGTGTGGTATGCTTTTCAAATCATTTGTGACAAACGATGTTAACGTGCATGAATGTTTAAACAAGCGTCTGATACCCATGATCCACAAACACGACGCCTCAGTACTGTTTTGGCCGGATTTGGCGTCGCTTCATTACTCCATGGATACGGTAGCCTAGTATAAAGCCAACAAGATCCAATTCGTACCCAAGGAGATGAATCCGCCAAACTGTCCTCAGGCCAGGCTAATCGAAAATGTTTGGGCCCTGTACATTTGCGGACACATGTAAAGGCAGCCGATTCCGTTACAAAGTTTGCGAAAGACTGGGAAAAAATATCCAAAATTGTTGGAAAGGCATCTGTGCTGAAGCTAATGAGTAGCGTGAGATCAAAAATCCACTCCTAGGCTTACAACGACGAATGCTATAAAGAACATGAATACAAAATAAAAATCGCATTTGCTGAAAACAGACAGTGCTTAGACATTCTGGGACACCCTATATTCGACGGTCGTGTGGTCTCCATACTACCAAAATGAAACCATGCGTATTGAAACTATTCAACGGTAGTTCATCCGATATGCTTCAAGGCATTTTCGGAATTTTGAAATGACCCTACAAATGTGCCTAGCTTCGAAAGCCGTTGTATGCTTATCAACTTAGAGCTTTTGGATGCGAGACGTAAGGAAGCAATAGCGAGCTTCGTTGGTGATCTTCTTCAGGGAAACATTGACTGTTCTATACTGTACACTATTGGAGTCCTTTTAATTGTAATGAAGTTTAAGCATTTCAAAATGTTTATAAGTTTACGAAGCGCTATGTGAAACCCCATAATAAATCTGCAAATAAACGTCAATAATAATCCTGAATACTTTCTGCTAGCGTTTAAATATTGGGAGCAGTGAATAACAATGCACACTGCATATCATCTTTGACGTCTAGTATAGTTCACTGTTTTGTTTTCAATGTAGAAAATAAAGTTCCACACATAAGACTTCCCAAGTAAAAATGTTGGTTCTATGAGGGTTCTCTAGACAATGATTTAGACTTGTAGCATGCTTTAAAACCACTATAAAACTTGCAATATTACTTGGGTTGATACGAATGGCAAAGCTCTCGAAAGGCTAATACCACAAGATTACCAAGGACTAAGTCCAAGGGAGACGATTCTAGCTACGATACAGGGAAGATTTTTTCAAGTAAAAATTCAGGTTTGATCATAGTCTTGAAGACATCAATTTGACTGGAAGAATGCTTAAAAACTATGATAAAACTCGCAATTTTACTTGGAATTCATTTGGTGTCGTGAGATGCGCGCGCAGATAGAAATAATGTTTATTAAGATTTTGAAGATTGTATAGATGCATTAAATGGTAAAATACTTTTCGTAGATTGATTCGTTAGCGTGAAATTGTTAGACCTAGATTGCCGATGAAGCAACATAATATATTCCTAATCACAGAAGAGAATGCTCTTGGGCTGCATCCAACAATTTGGTTAACATTTCCTTCCATAAACTTAAAGTAATGCGCACTTCCTCCCTAGGATGGCCAAATTCCCTCCATTGAAATTCACTGTTCTAACGAATTAATTCTTATTGTAATCGAATCATTTTTAAGAATACGATTTACTCCACGATAGCTTGAACGAAAAGTGTGCCATGGAGTACTGAATGCGTCATTGGGACGGTACTAATGGATATTTTTGGTTGCTATTGAAAATTTAGTCGATTGCAATACATAAATTATGGGCCCAAATTAGGGACACCTGGCCGACATTACATACATTTCGCCTATCTATCGAATTCTCCCAGTTGTTTTTTCCGCCTTCCTCTGCAAGTTTATCCACAAGCTTTCTCCAGAGGTTCTTTTTCTAACTTCCATTGGATGGTTTTTCCGAGCGGCTTTCCCTAGAAATGGCTGCTCTAAGATTTTTTTTCGATTTCCTAAACCATTCTGGCCACTATTTTTCCGAAAGTTTACCACATATTTTACAAATACTTGTCAATATTTTTCTATTAAGTTCCCCAGATGTTTTTCTGACTTTTAGAAGAACTTTCTTCAAATTTCCTCGAAAAGAGCTTCTATTTTCATTCTCTGGAAGTTTTTTCAGCTTCCTTCAGAAGTTAGTTCAAACATTCCGTAAATTCCTCCCGACATCTGCTGGAAGTAAATATTCCTTCCGTAGGATTAAAGTTTAAATGCACGAAACTGAAAATGATACAAATATTAAATTAATTAGAATTGATTTTCTTTTAGATATGATAATGATATGGAGACAAATGTCGGTAGGCTGTGGACTATCTTTGCTGTTCGACTTGATCAAGTTTAATCACCTCTAATAGTACTCAACCTGCTATTGTATGCCAAAAACGGTTTGGGTGAATCCGTATGCAACATCGCCCTCGTGCATCCACGGGATAAATGAGAATCTCCTGCCAACAACTGGATCATACAACCGGTCAAAAAGCAGGCCATCCAACTGTTCCAGTGAGTGGGGCGAAGAGCCCACTCTCTATTCACGAAATGTTAAAGATAGGGACTTGGCATTTCCACTCTCCCCATCCATTTATCTTCAACCGGGTGCCCTGGTAGACCCTGCCGTACCCAGCATATAATGTATCATATAATAATGGAATGAAATTTAAGAGAAAAATAAAGGAAAGATTTGTTGCAAAGGAATCCATGACGTCACGATGATTTCGAAGAAATTCCATAGACATGCTGCCGCTACTTCTTCAACTGGTGTTAAAAACAGCACACCCGCCTTTCGTTCCTGACCTAGGAGCAACCACGAAGCACACTCTAGCTGCCCCAACTAGAGGGATTCAGAGGGATCACTAGAAACACTTCGGCTTCAGTTCACCAGCACACAGTCTGTAAGACGCTACGCCAGCTTCTCATCACCCGAATCAACTCATGACCAACGCTGAAATCATAAGCGACAACTCCAGCGACCGAAAACAGACGTGTCTAATAGCAACCACGGCACACTTCGATGCATTTTGTTTTTCCTAGATTTTTTCCGTCGATCTTGTTTTCCGTGGTGAGCACCAACGCCAGGGAGGCAGCTCCCACACACCTGGACCCTACCTATCGACCCATCAACTCATGAACCGGGGACCAACGGCTTTACTTCCCTTCCGAAGAAAGGCGTGATCAGAGATGCTATATGCCTAAGAACATCACGGCGGCGCCGACTGGGATTGAACCCAGGCCTGCTGGGGTGAGATGTAGTCACACTTACCACTATACCACCAGTGCCACTAACACTTCGATCGCATTTCTGAAACACAAACTCAACGCAGAAACACGAGGACGACAACACTCCACAACCACCTTTCGTCCGGGAGGCGGAACGCCAGCACGCAGCAAGCAAGGGAAACAAAAGGCACACACAGAGCACGGCACGAGCTGAACTGCTAACGTTGAAAACCAAACCCGAACAAAATTTTATTTGTAAATTTTTCAAACCTTTTACCTTTAATTCGATTTTTTTAAATCTTTGATATCGATGAAATCTTGATCTCCAACAATCGCGAACTATCTTGGCTACGTCCTTACAACTGCTGAGGGGATGGGAAGGATTATTAGTTGGACACTTA